TTTGTGCTTCCTAAACACTGGCCAAACATTTAAAACCAAACATGTGAATATCTAAAGTAATACCACAGTGAGGCTCAAGTGATTTTGTTATTAGTATTTTTTTTTTATTACCGGTACTATTTTTTGCAGATGATGAGAAACACCAGAAAGTAAATGATATGTGACGTCACCTGAGCCCTCCCTCCCACACGCGGAAGAGCTCACTTTCTCCCTGTTCCTTCTGCAGAAGCGCAGGGAATGTGCATGGCTCTCAGTCCTCTCCTTCGCTCCTCTCAGTGCGCCACAGCCGAGAAACTGCCTGTTTGACTCGTGCAAATTAAACAACAAAAACACTTTATTTGAACCGAAGGAAGTATTTATATAACATTGTTCTTATAAAGCAATTACCAATCTGCGTCGGAGCGTATAGGCAGGTAATGTCGTACACATTAGAGACTTTTAAAGTAATGTCAATTTATTTTGGAGGTGTTTTTTTTTTTTTTTTTTATTATTGAAAGTGAAAAGAAAATACTACGTGTTTGCTTTTAAGTGCGCTGTATTTTTTCCTCACAATTGTAAATGTAAGTTTATGGCTGTCCCTTTTCGATGTTTAAAAGTTGGCTATGTGATTTAACTTTAAACTTTTTTTTTACATGTTTAATACTCTACTCCAAACAAATTCGACCCTACACTCTTTTTGAACACATTAATAAAGTTATTTTAATATATAATGTTGATCCTCGGCCCTACATGCAGCTCACAGTAATTCTGCAACTCCCTACATATTTCCTCTCAAGATGTAAATAGTTGTATTTGCATGCGAGGTGATTCATAAACATGTCAGTGTGTGGCGAAATATATGGCGATGGGGGGGATATTAAAACTTTCTATTTAAATATGGTGAATTATGGTCGCGAGAAATGTGTTCCCATTTAAGAGGAATGCCGAGCATTTTGGTGTCTGGTGCAGGAGCCCCATTTGTCATGCGGACAATAAAGAGGGTTTTCGCCTGACAGTGAAAATATATGGTTGCCCTTCTTTGCCCTAATAATTCACATATTGTGTCAGGGACTGACATCCCTCGCAGAAAACAGCAAGCCCGTTATCAATCACGCGTCTTTGCATATTGTGAAACGCTCCCCTATTTTTTTCTCTGTTTCTATAGAAAAAAATAGATTTTATTTTTTACTTTTTTTTAAGGATATTGTGAAAAAAAATTTACTAATTTGAAACTACATATTTAACTTAAAAAAAACTGTTTTTTATTATTATTATATATTTATATATACTCTTCACTTATGCGTATGTGGCCTAAATAGTTTGCGTTTTCCCCCTCAAAATTTTACTATTTTTTACTCTTACACATATATTATTTAAAATTTATTTTTTATTTCAATAATTTTATTTTATTTTTTTGGACCCTTCACTGTCCACTCCAGGTTTTTCTTCCTCTCCAAGTCGACCTGTCAAGCAGATTACCACAGAAAGAGATTAATGGCAGAGGCGGGTTGCAATAATAATCGTTTTGTTTGATGTGACAACTTTGATAGGCGTTGATTTACTTACAAACTGATAGGCTTTTAATTGAGCGCCTCCATCCCCCGATTGAGATGAAAGGGAAAACCACATTGAAAAGCTGCCCGATTGCCCCGGAGCCTCAATACTGATTAGCCATCTCAGCAGTGAATAGTTCAAGGCATTTTAAACTTCCCCCTCCCTCCTTTCTCTGAACGGCCTGACAGACCATCTCTCTTCCTTTCTTCCTCCCCTCACTACGCTTTTTGTATACCTCTTTTAAAGAAAATACTTCATTTCCTTTATATGCAAATAAAATACAGCTGGCAATAAAATTAAAAAAGTGAGTCTTTTATTATTTTTTTTTTTTTATCATCAATAATGATTTATGGTGTGTTTTTATTTTCTCTTGCGTAAAAAGGGGAGGAAACTGATATGCTAAACTTTATTCCTCTTCTTCGGGTAAAGCTGGTTGATTTAATCGGGTAACTTTCCCCAAGATATTATTAGAATTATTAAAACAGATTTGGGTGAATTACTCTTTGTTTTCTTCATTTTACCAGATCTCATGGCCGCAGTGTGATTTTTATCCCCCCAAAGCTTCTTGTTAACACCATAATCGGCCGATTATAGAAGAAGTTTCGCACCTCGATGCACGAAAGGCTTCTCTGCACATGTGAGCGCGATTGTCTGCAAGTTATTAAAGTTTCATCATGCACATACCACCTTCAAGGTGTTTTACTAAATTAAGCGCTATTTAATAAGTAGCCTATTTGAGGTTAAGTCCACATGGTTTTGTTCTCCTTAAATGCATGAGGTGAGAATGCTTTGCTTTGGCGGATGCAATTTCAAATTAAATGGATCGATGCGGCACTCCGAATAATAATAACAACTTGCTGTCTCTTGCCCTGCGTCTCCCCGTTTGTTCTCTTTCGCTCCTCCAGCAGCAACGCTTGCATGTAATCAGCCACAATAGCTGACATAAATCAAGAGACGGATTGGCAGCGACTGACAAATGACTGATTGATTGCGGCGTAGCAGAATTGACACTTGACTGAGGGATGGAGATAGAAATAGAAGGGCGGTGTATATTATACTGAAAACATGTGACATTCGCATCCCTCCATCACTGCATTGGTCTATTCCTGTCAACGCTTGTCTGTTTAGGGAATTCAAACCAGAGCGGTTGGTTTTATGTTTGCTGGTGAAGGAGGGAGGGAAAAAGGTGGAGGAAGGACCTCACAAAACCCATAAAATCCAACAATCTGTTTAGATTCAGTCTCCTAAGTGTGATGATGGAGCAAATAAATTTAATGTTAAAATGGTACATTTTTAATATTATTACCGAAATGTATCATTTGCAAAGATCTGAAGATAGTCAAACTTTTTCTGGCCAAAGCTCAGATGTAGGATTTGGGTTCTGAGGTCTGACCACATTTTATTTCTCCTCTTGTGTTTTCTAAGGTTTGAACTTTTATTTTATTTTATTTTATTTATTTATTTATTTTCCTACTTGGTTTGATTCTGTTTTATTTTCCTATAATTTAATCATGTAAAGCACTTAGCATTGTCTTTGAACTGAATTGTGCTATACAAATAAATTTGCCTTGCCTTGCCTAAAGGAAATATAATAGGGAACACATCTTTGCAGACTCCCTGGTAGATAGGCTAGTCTCAAATCCAGTATGTTAGTAAATATTGTAAGATTTTCAATTAAACTATTGAAGAAAACTTGCAAGGGTTCTTAATTAAGAAAAAAAAAGCCAAAGTTTTTAGTGTTTAATACTTGCATTTCTCCATTTGGAGGTGAAAACCAGTTCTGACCAGCAAGGGAAGGGATACGATGGCCTTTTCCCCCCACAAATTACATTTTTTTCTTACTCGACATGAAATCCTTGACATGCTATATGAGAAGAGCCTTTTTAACCCTGAGAACCAGAACAAGACATATCAAGCTTAGGGCCTCCAAACCAATAGAGGGCTTCAAAGAGCACTAGAACTGCCACTTAGATCAGGTTTCTAATTCATTTCTGGTCACTTGTGCCATAAAGGGGTGGTAAGTGTTGTTAATTAGTTATTATACATGCTGAAAAGTAACGTTGGAATCTAAGGAAAACAATTAAAGATATAATTTATTTTATTCATAATGGACTTTTGGAAATAAATGATTTAAGTTGAATTGCTTGTTAGCTGTATAAGATCAATTCAATCCTCCTATGTGAAATAATAATAAAAAACAACATACCTATAAGATGAATAATTCATTTTTAATAGCTACAAGTTATGGGACTCAGCTTTCAGCAAGTCTGACTTTAGCTCCTTTTCTGAATTAGTAAAGGCAATGACCAATATCAGGAATAAGAGGAAAAATAACCACTTCAACATGGAAAAAGGCAACAGCGTTGTCTTAGTGTGTCCAGAGTAAACTGCTCTTCCAATTAAACAATGACATAAATTATTTAATAGTGAGTTCTGCCAAATTGTGTCCACAAAGTGTTAAACATCTGAGCTATATATGGCCCTTATTGTTTAACAAAACAACATTATAGAATATTTTAAACAAGGACACTTTATGCAAAGTTGGGATTCAAGCAATGAGTATTAGTTGTAAAGTCAATTAGAATAATGAATGGTTTGGGTGATTTAAGTTTTATTTTACAGATGTCAGTTTTAGTTTTTTTTTTAAATGTAATTTTCCATAAATATTTTTTAACATGAATTATATAAAGTCAATAGTCTTTCAATTTCCTCAAATCAAGTTACTGGGTTGGAACATTGTTGTTAATCAGTAACAGCAAGAGCACTAAATCTGTGTATTATTAGCTGCATTGTTTATAAATTAAAATATATGTAAATTTGTTATTAACTTTAGACACATTTTGATTAGGAGTGGCTGCAAAAAGTTTCTAAAAGGGTGGCTGAAAATCTTATTGGGGAGCACCAAAACAAAGTGTGATTATTACAATTTCTAGAGTTTTCCATAACATGTTTAAGAGTTAAAACAGAATGTAGCCTGCTACTGATGTTAGGAATTAGCATATGAGATAAATAATCAGCAGGTCAGTCTTTATGTATGAGGGGACTTTTCAGATATAAAGAGGGCAACATAAAGGGATTTTTTTTTTAGATAAGTTAATTTGAAAGCGATCAAAAAATCTAACAAAAAGAAGGTTAAACTAGAAAAGACCCAAAGATTAATCCTAAGCTAAAGCTATTCTATAGAAAATAAAAGTACATACTTGTAAAAACTCTTAACTTATCACGTTTTTTATTTCATTTTTTTCTAAATATATATAAGGATAGAAATTCCTAAAGGAAACTATTTCTTTTAGTTGGGGCAGCGCCCCCCTGATCCCCCCCTTAGTATCAACTCTGAGTTCGGTCTATATCTAAGCTCCTGGAGTCCTCCTGTTTAGGATATATCCAGGCGTGCACAGCAACCACGACATTTATTTCCTTTCTCCTCCCCCGAGCTGTCAAAATAGAGGCGCTTACTAAGAGGAGAACGTCACATCCCCTTGACCCTCCAATCACCTCAGGGTCCCATTTGATTGGAAGGCGGCAAAGGCTTTAATCTCGGACTAATTCAGTTGCTTTTGAAGTGAAAATCCCTAGCAGATCGTGCTTCGGGAGTACAGAGCGAGGACCTGCAGACAGACGCGCACACAAGGGGCGCTGCGCTTTCGGTGAAGGACGCAGCCACGGATGTGCGATAACCACTGCTCTCCTTTCCTTCCAAGCTGCCGCGCCTTGCAGTCTGCTCTCTAACCAAGGATTACACATCACTAAGGCGTCTACGACCGTTTTCCCTCAACAGAAACAGACTCATTGCTTCCATTTTTTTCTCTTTTTTTTGTGCGCGCTGGTTTTTCTTAATGAATCTGATGAATGCATTGCCGTTTCATTCCCTGACTGTTGGGACATGATCACGTCGCCCTCGGCGTCTGCTCTGAAAAATAGTGAAATTTGTGTGGTGTGGGAAAGCAGCAGTGCACGGAATAGCAGCATCAACAAGCCTTTTCTTCACTCCGCACCTCCGTCCGATCCACTACGGCAAGCGAACAGACTTCCCATCAAGGTTTTGAAAATGCTCACGGCACGATCGGGACACATTCTGCACCCGGAGTATCTACAGCCTCTGCCTTCAACCCCAGTCAGTCCGATCGAGGTAAGATGACATATATTTTACAATAAAGGTATATCTAGCTGATCGTAATGATTGCTTTAAATATTTCAGCATAAATCTGTGATAGTCTGTTAAACGCTTTCATTTTCTCCACATGAGAGTTAAAGTTTGAAGGAGAAATTAAAAGGATTTGATTTCTTACAATCGTTTTATGTCATTATTTACAGCTCGATGCCAAGAAAAGTCCTTTGGCTTTGCTGGCGCAGACCTGCTCCCAGATCGGTAAGCCGGACCCGCCGCCCTCTTCCAAACTCTCCTCCGTTACGCCGAACGGATCTAGCGAGAAGGAATCTAAATCTGGCCCCTTGAAGCTGAGCGACATCGGCGTGGACGACAAATCCAGCTTCAAACCCTATTCCAAGCCGACAGACAAGAAGGACTCGTCCTCCGGGGTCTCTGCCGGAGAGAAGTCTGGTTTCCGAGTGCCGAGCGCCACCTGCCAGCCGTTCACGCCGCGGACGGGCAGCCCCAACTCCAGCACCTCCGCCTCTCCCATGCCGACGGAGGGGAAATGCGGGGAGAGGGACGACAAGAAGGAGTCTGATTGTAATAAAAACGGCACAGGAGACGGCACCGGCACCACCAGCCACAGCAGGATAAGCGTGAGCTGCGGTGGGATTAACGTGGAGGTCAACCAGCACCAAGAAGCGACCCCTGGCACCAAAACCTCATCCTCATCATCCTCGGAGTCTTCCTCTGTGACTTCCGTATCCTCCGCATCAGTTCTCGGCTCGGGACTTGTGGCGCCGGTTTCCCCTTATAAACCAGGACAGACAGTGTTCCCCTTGCCCCCTGCTGGCATGACCTACCCGGGTAGTTTGGCCGGGGCCTATGCTGGTTACCCTCAGCACTTCCTGCCCCATGGAGGAAGCTTGGTAAACGCACAGCTTGCCAGCTCTCTGGGCTGCAGTAAGGCTGGCTCCAGCCCCTTAGCCGGAGCTTCTCCTCCGTCCATAATGTCAGCCAGCCTGTGCAGAGATCCATACTGTCTCAGTTACCATTGTGCTAGTCACTTAGCGGGCGCAGCCGGTGCGTCCTGTACGCACGACTCCGCGGCTGCAGCCGCTGCCAGCGCGCTAAAATCCAGCTACCCTCTAATGTATCCAACACACCCCATGCACGGCGTTCACTCCACGGCTCCGTCCTTCAGCGGACACCCCCTGTACCCTTACGGATTCATGCTCCCTAACGACCCTCTCCCACATGTTTGCAATTGGGTGTCGGCAAATGGACCGTGTGACAAGCGCTTCTCCAGCTCAGAGGAGCTCCTGAACCACCTGAGGACACACACCGCTTTTACCGGGGCGGAGAAGTTGATATCGGGCTATCCTGGCTCTTCATCACTGGCCAGCGCTGCAGCAGCGGCCATGGCCTGCCATATGCACATGCCACCATCAGGAGCCCCAGGGAGCCCCGGGACTTTGGCCCTAAGGAGCCCGCACCATGCGTTAGGACTCAGCAGCCGCTACCACCCATACTCTAAAAGTCCCTTACCGACCCCCGGCGCCCCTGTTCCGGTCCCTGCAGCCACCGGCCCCTATTACTCTCCTTATGCACTGTATGGACAGAGACTCACCACAGCGTCAGCGCTGGGATATCAGTGAGGAGGAAAATGACTGAAAAGTTTATAATACTAAGAATGCAAATATAAAGACTTTTATATTAACTGCGCTAAACTTTTGGACGGGATCCATGGACTTGAACTGTATTTATTTATATGTTGGGCTTAAAACAGGCGGTAACAGCTGCGTTATGGGAGAAAAAAAATATCTGAGCAAGTCAAAAAGTGCATTATGTTGAAGCTGAACTCTATAGGTGAAAATGAAAACACGCATTATGTTAGAAAACCTAACGAACGTAGGGATCTTTCATTTCGATGTTCATTTCAAATTGCTATATGATTGTATTTGTTCTTATTTAATGTCCCATCGAGGAAAAAAAATAATAATTTACATGCATGTCTGTTTCTTAAAATTTCAAAACATGTCAACATTTAAATTGCCGTTATTTTTCAGGTGATGGAAAGAGAAATTGGTATTTTTTTGTATGTATTCTGGGCAAAAAAAAAAAAAAAAAAAAAAGAAGCAGTTCTGTTCCGTATGTTGTGCCTCCTTTTTCTTGAACGCCTGTTTTTTTTTAGCTCATAAAGTGCACAAAAACGAGGAGAAACGTCACATTTTCTGTATATTTCACAGAATTTGTTTTACCCGCCTGTTAATTATTGGCCTCGAGGAAAAATAATTGCAACATTTCCACTCTCAGGCCTTTAGTTGTCAATGCTTTTATAAAGAAAAAAATATTTCTATCTTTCTTTTCTTTATTTGCTTAAAATAACATGAAGCGGATATTGATTAATTTATCTCAATACATTATTTAGAGAAAATCAAGTTTATCACTCAAAAAACAAGTTTAATGCCCCAGAAAAAAATCAACAAGAGTGTAAATTTACCAAAATATTTTTTTCCCATTCCCAGAGCTTAAAAAGCAAAATCCGTGTATTTTTAGCAAGATAAATGCAATTAAAAATATATAGGATTTTACTTACTATAGGATTGAACGCAGTCACAGTTTCATACGTTTTTAACACGTTAATATTCGTTTGATTTGATTTTTATTCCTTTATTTTTGTATTTTTTTTTTTATTTTTTTTTTGCAAATTTGACTGGTGTAAGTTTTATGCAAAGGAATATACTTTGTTGTTCCTTATTGGGTGACATGAATTAGTTTGCGTTTATTTCACCCGCTTGTAAATCCAATGTGGACGCAAAGAAATGTGCAATTAAAGCAACCTAAATTGTGCAGAATTTGTTTGATTTTCACGCGTGTCAGCTGTTACAGTTCTAATGCACGATCACCAACAGCTTGAATTACATGTTTGATTTAATCATAGAGCAGATTGCGAAGAGGATTTAGTCAATTTAAATGTTATACAAGGGTGCAACGGAAACCCTTACAAAAAATGATGGTTTATCCGCTGTTCATGCGAGAAAATGGGTGTTTATGGGCAGAATCTTGCAATCCTTTTAGTTTTTTGTTTGTTTTACAGTTGCAGTCATCATGATTAACAAAAATTTGGATATTTTTTTTTTCTTTTGGTGCAATGGTTAGTCACGCAAAAAAAAAAAAAAACTCTCCACACTGCTGCGCATATAAGGCCCACACGCGTCCTAAACTGATGTAATGACGGTGAAAAGGGAGCAATTTCCATTTTTACCCACATCATGGTGGCTGTGCTCGGAGGTCCCCGGTGGAAGGCAATTTATCATGTGCCCCTCCCCCTGGCCCCTGTCACTGGAGGAACAGGCAGGCACATGTGTGCATGAATTACCGAGCCTCCCACCTCCCCACCAGCCCTCCCTCTCCGCCTTAACGGCAGAGATTTGACACACAGAGGAGAGACAACATGGGGGGATTAGAGTATGCAGGAGGGCTAAAGTACATATTCACTTTGTCCATCAACGCCTGAAAGTGCTTAGGTGTGCACTGAGCGCAGCTGAACAGCAGAAAAAAAATCTTTCAAAAACCCAGAAGTGGTCGCTGCAGGTATAAGAAGTATATCTTAGTGTCGATATTCAGTATGCAGCAGGGAATTTTCTAACTAATTTAATAATCTGTTTGAACACGAGTTTATGCCATTTTTACTCTTCATCTTAGTTGTGAGGAAGGTTTTTTCTTTTTTTTTTTCTCCACATGCAGTAAGAGTTTTAGTGTTTTGGTGAAACGGGTGTAAAACTATAAAAATATGCAGGCATCACGGGAAAAAGATGGGAAAATATTTATAATAAATAATCTTTTATTCCAATGGCACCATAATATCAATTATTTCCTCTAAAAATCTTAACTTTCGTATGGCTTCTCTCAATTGTTGATGAAAACAGCATAGTTTTAAGAAAATGTTTTTATTTTTATTTGGGGACATCAAAGTATTTGGTGGCACATTTTTTGGGGCTCTTACTAATTTATTTGAAATAAATCCACCAAGCTTTTTTTTTTTTTATTATAGTTTAGTTTTGTAAGTTTCTTTTTTTTTGTGCATTATAAATATGAAAAGACACAAGGGCTCCTTTCAACAGCCCCTATCCCACTAGGCAGATGGTTGACTCATATTTTTCTTACCAGCATGCACTTTGAGGCAGATTCTGAAACGGGTTAAAAATAATCTACAAAACTCTCTGTCAAAGGAAAGCCATTCACAGTAACTCTTGGAGTTAAGTGTTTTTCAGGACGTAAAGTTGAAATATACACATTGGTCTTATAAAACTAAGAAAAAGCTTTTTGGTAAGAAATACTTCTTGAATTAAATTATTGAAAAAAAAAAGACAATTTTGGCCATTCATTATTACATTATGGGTGCATTATATAAATAGAATAAAAAATTTGTCTCTTTTCGCATCATTAATAAAGGTACCCAACAACGTAAATCATCATTATGAAAGGTGCCAACAAAGTAAATCATAGCTATAAGTGAAGCTTAACAGAAAAAAATGTCAGTTCACATATTGTAAGAGAGATTAAAAAGATAGTTGTCCCATTCCTTTTACCCAGGTCATTTGCTCATTCTTGTCTCACAGTTGAGCTCTTGCATGTTCAGCTGTCTAAGCTGCAGTGATGATAAAACACAGGCAGTAAAACATTAAAGAAAATCTAAACCATATGGGAATGTGCATTCTTTATATATACTGTGATTCTTTTGTTCAAGACCAGAAGCAACCCTCTTCAGAATTGTAGGATGTCCATAGAGAATGGCATCGCATGAAAACCTGCCAGTACATCTGGCGAAAGGGGGGGTTGAGGGGGACTTGGTCCAGGACGTGACTCACACACACCTAACCCCATGCTGAATTACCAGCACTAAAGCTGTCATTAGTGGGTGTATGGTAAAATATAAAGACACCATGTCATCAGTGGTGGTAAATCTATAGCTTGACAGCTGTGTCAATAAGAAGAAACAGCTTTAAAGTTGAACCCCATGGCAGACATAAGTCAAAAAGGGATAATTATCTTGAATGTACAGTACAAGCAAAAAATTAACATACCCTGATGGCCTTTAAATCCTTCTTCTTACAAGGACAGATGCAGCAAGCCGTTTTAAAAATCTTTTAAATAATAATATAGAGTGCTTTTCTATAAACATACATGCCCAAAGCATTAGGTTAACTGTCTCCAAAAAAGTTGCAGCTCAACCAGAAACTTTAGAAGGCCACCTTTCCAGCTTCTAACCGGTTTGAATCACTGCTTAGCAGATGTTTTATTGGCTTTGTCCACATATTTTCATTTAGGTCAAGATCATTACAAAATTGTAGCCTTTTGTGTGTTTAAAAGCCAGTTTTATGTGCTTTCTGGATCATTCTCCTGTTTAAATACTTAAATTTGTCCATGTTTTAGCCACTAAGGTCCTGACTTGAGGTAAAGAATTTGGAGGTAGTTCCTTTTCTCCGATTTTGCTCCAAAGTATGGTGCTGCCACCTCATTGTCTGACAGCTGGTACAATGCTCGAGTTAAAAAACCTAAACTTAAGAATAAGTTGAGCCCTTATTTATTTATTTTTTTTATCTTAAGATAAAATATTTTTAAGAGAAAATTTGGCTTGTCCATGAGGATAGCCGCAAAAATCAGTTGATCTAAAAGGCATCTATTGTGGAGCAAAAGGGGTATACATCCTGTTATCCAATGTCAATGTAAACTCACTTCTCTGAACAGTAAAACTACTACTTTAATATGTTTCAGTTTCGGTTTTAGTTGTTGAGGGATATTCTTAAACAAACTGACTGGTATCCTTTACACTCTTTACAGTCTGGGCTTAAGTTACTGAAACCCTGGTATAGCTAAATGTTGAGGACAGGGACCTCAAACATTTTAAAAGTAGTTTTGGAATGACAAACGTCCTTCTGGAATGACCTGCACAAAGTTTTGACTTTGAACATTTTAAAATTGTCATTGTATAGGTTTTTAGTTCTTGTATGCAAATCTGCAGCTGACCTTGTGATTTAAATATAAAGAAAAATGGATTAAGCTTAGAGTAAACTCTCAAATGTTATTATATAAAATATCTGATTTATGGTGGTGCAGGCTTTTATAACTGTCCCCAGCTTGGTGATTGTAAAATTAAGTCATAAAGTGTGCAGCAGGATAAAAAAGCCTCTCTGCTATAAACAGATCAAATGCTTCAGGGAAATCTCTACAAAACCTGTCTTTCATGGAATGAATCAGAACAAAACCAACACATTATTTGGTCATATCCATCATCAACAAAAAAAAAACCCAACAACCTTGCTCTGATTGAGTAATATTAGAATGCAGTCCCCAACTGAGTACTGTAATGGAGGTAATTTGGCTCTCGAAAAATCTGTGCCAAGTAAGACAGGAATCCCTCCCAGCTCTCCTGCTCATGGTTACCCTCCTCATTGATTTACAAATGTAAAAGTGCTTATCTAGGTGATGTGCAAGAGGCAGTGGTGCTGATCTATTCGTGCCACTCAGATCTCTAACCAGCGAGACACTTTCTTGTACTTAGACAGCCTAATTAAGGTCATTTCTGTCCGCTCAGGGATCTCCAGTGCACTGGGGGTATTTTAGTGTTCAGATAATTTCCCATTTTCTGATTCTGAAAAAGAATATTTTATGGAAATGCACCCTTATTCCAGGCACCTTAATGGAGCACGTTGGAGTAGTGTGTGAGCTGATGAGGTTGTTGCCTGTCATTGGTGAATAGAGAAAGCAGAGAAAATCTCGGTGATATGCTTAGCTCCAAAGGGCTGTTTGAGTCCATTTGAAATCAGCTATGTCAAGGTAGTTTGTCTTTAGTGTATTCCAACTTGCAACTGCAAGCTTATTCAGTGTGGACACAGAAAAAAAGCATTAAAGAGTAAAATACTTGCCTCGCTACTGAGTCAAAAGTCAAAGCTAGACTTCTCCAACGTCAGTAAAGATTTACTCTGCCTGTTTAGTTGATAGTTTTGTTGTGTTTGTTATTCTTTTTTTAACTACTCGATTATTCACTCAACCAAATAGTTTCTGTCTCCAGTTATTTTCTCCCTTTCCAGAGAAAAGCTTGCTCGTCCTACATGTCAACTACTACGTTATTTCAATGGGTGTGGACCACCAATTACTGTGACCACAAAAATATTGCAACTGCACAAATATATGTCTTTTGTAGCAGTACATGGAGCTATAACCATGAGTGAGTTCCCCTCCATGTGATTTGTCTTTCATGCTGCAATAGGTGGCATCATTAATAAACAGTGCACATTCCTTTATGCAAACCAAAAACCAAAACAATGGTCTTGGAATTTAATGTGGAGATTATTTAGCCAAAAGAAAGAAAAGTGATGCTTTTTCTCAATAATAATATAAACATAACAGGAAATTGTAGCATTAAAAACTTTAATGAGCGTCTCATTTTAAAATTTTTCCAATAACAGCTAGATTGATTAATTCTATTGAACCCAACAAATGACACTACAAAGAATAATGATATGTGCTAAAGCAAGCCTCTGGGATTTATAGTCCTGTGGAGTCAATCTGCTGGCTTTTAAGGGGGCTAGGGATCAGTATATGACTCTATGACCTTATCTTTAGTGAAAAATCTTATTTAGTTTGCTTGATCCAAAAAATGTAAAAATAAAACTGTAAAAATAATGACTGGATGAAACAAGTTCAAGCAAATTCCTGTGGGTAATTTCAAAGGAAATCACAAACTACAGTAAGGTGGGCTTGTGCTTGTGCTTATGTTAGGGTTGGTGATCGTGTTCAAAAAATACTTGTTGTAATATTGAGTTAAATGATCATTCCATCCTGAGAGAAGTCAATACCTTATGTATTCAGAAAAAGGAACAAAAAACAGACGTCTGTGAGAGCTGCAAGCCTGTAAAAACTCTTACCAATCCCTCCTGTTCGGTCCGAACGGAAAAACCAGACGCATTCATCTCTGTCCCTCCCCCAAGTGCTTGTGAGATCTTGCTAACCCTCAAATGTTAATAACCATAGCTTTAAGTTGCTGAAGATCATTTATATTCCATCAGTGGTGTCCATGCCCTTTGACGAAGGATGCCAATTGTGTGTTGATGTAATTATTATTTCCATTACTGAAATTACTGAACCCATTTACACTTCAGATGACAACCATTTTT